CCCGGGATCCGAACCCGGGCCGCCAGCATCAGAGTGCGCGCACTTAACCGCTAAGCCACGGAGCCGGCCCATAAAGCCACCACTTTAAATGGGTGAATTGTATAGTATGTGAATTATATCTCAATACAGCTATCAAAAAATGAAAATAATGTATTGTTAGGCTTAAAATTACGGCCTCACATTTTTTTCATTTAAAGGCTTATGTTTGTTTAAATAATAGCAATATTATGAAAATGCTATAGTTATACTTCACAGAATTCATTTCAATGGAGAGAGAAATGTAGATATATTTTATTAGCAAAATTAAAACAGAGCAAAGAAACAAAAAAGTAGCCATCACTTTTTTTCTTTAGGTACTTACTGAAGTGACAAATTTTATTCATCTATAACCAGAAGAGACTGAATCAGTGTATAAAACCTAAGAAAAATCATGTTGCTCAGGAATTCGTTTTCTTTCAACAGCTCCTTTTGATTTATTCAATCAAAATATCCCACGTCCAAACAATTAAAATCACCACAATGGAAACTGCTTTAGTCAGACACAAAGAATTAACAGGATTCTATTGCCAAGTATTAATGCTGAGATTGGCTGCTAGGATTTTCCTGCTATCTGCTAATGGTAGTCTAGGCCTTCTATTGTTTTGTTTTTGCCGACTCTGAAAAATAATTTTAGGTAACATTTATGGCATTTCTTTAATATTAAAAAGGGCATTTTCTGGTAAAGACAATAAATGATGGTGAATACTTTAATTCTAAGATTTCTCTAAACAACCTCTACCAGCATATGTGCCTAGCCTAAATATAATAACATAATAAAATAATGAATATTTCCTATTATCTTTTTTTTTTTTATAAGAAAGGCAGTCTGCCACATGCATGCCTCATTTGGATGTGTCTTGAGTCTTGGAAGCTTGACTACCCTACGTTCTCCTGCAAACGGACCTCGACAGCCTTCTGGGGTAGCCTACTAGCAGGGGAACGCAGCTACTCATATACCATTGACCAAAGAATGGTCCTCCTCTATCAGGGAAGGTCGTCCTCTTCGACTGAGTGCGCAGCTTCAGGAGGGACGCACCTGGAGTGGTGAGGGAGGAAGGGGACACTCACCTAGCCAGCCAGATCAGCTGAATCAACCCTGGCGATCAATGGGGTGACATGTGTCACAGCCAGATCACCCTCACATCCCCTATTATCTTTTTAATAAATATAAACATATTAAAAACTGCCTGAAATTTATTATTTTACCTGTTTACTACTAAAATCTCTTCCTCCATTTGAAGAAAACAGCAAAATCCCTCTCCCTCTCTTCCCTTGAGGCTACAGAAAAGAATCTCTAGGAGTCAAATTTCCACTCCTGGAAACAACAAGTTAATTTCACTACTCTGATAAATTTTAAGTCTATCAGTAGCACACTCAGGATGAAGCCGTTATTGGCATGACTTTTTTTGTGTGTGTGATGAAGATTAGCCCTGAGCTAACATCTGTTGCCAATCCTCCTCTTTTTGCTGAGGAAGATTGGCCCTGGGATAACATCCATGCCCATCTTCCTCTACTTTATATGGGACGCCACCACAGCATGGCTTGACAAGCAGTGCGTTGATGCGCGCCCGGGATCCGAACCTGCGAACCCCGGGCCACCGCAGTGGAACGCACGTACTTAACCACTACGCCACGAGGCTGGCCCCTGGCATGATGTTTGATGGAAGTATATTTTGAAATGGGCTAGAAGATTAATTGCCTTCACACTGAATAAAGGTGTTTTACATTTCTAATTAAAAACTCTGTTCTCCGATTCAATGTTGATTTTTAAAAGGTTGTTTTGGAAGACCTATGTGCCTTTCAGAAATCAAAGTCTAGTGTAAACTGAGACTTTTTTCTAAGTAACCATAAGTCTGGCTTAAAACACTAAAATCAGAGAGGGTTATGTGTGTGCTGGATGCTAAGATGAGGAAAGAACGTCTATTATCAGTTTATATGGGTCCCAGATAAAGAAAATATTAAACTGAAGTTCGGAGGGGCAATACTTGGGTTTTCTTACCAAAAAAAAAAAGGTTAGAGAGGAAAAGATGATCGGGAGACAGAGTCTTCAAGTTGGAAAGGCAGTCATGAAAGAATCATGCTGCCGCTATGTTCAACAGCTATATTACTTCTTTCTTTTGGCTCTAGGCATCTTTGAGAAAAGAAGAGAGGAACAGAAGAGGCAACCTAACTATGGCTGCAGGCAGAGAAAATCCAGGAAAGGCGAACTCAAGCCTGACTGTAAGACGAGGCAATTGCGTCTAGTGTCCCAGGAGTGTGAAAGTTGCAGGCTGCAGCTGGCTCTAACATCTGGAAAACTCAGCCAAGCACCAAAGTCATGGATATGCCCAGGTTCTGATCCAGTTAAAAGGTTAAAGGTGAGCTGTAAGAAGTGTTCTGCTCAAGCTGAAGGATAATGTCAAGGTCATAATAGTGATTAGTGATTAAAGAAGTTAAGGAATCTAGGTATTGTTTCTTTAAAACTACTTAATATTTTCACTATAATGTTTTAATCAAGTTGCACTTTTGTGAAAATGAAAAAACTAAGGATAACTTAGCTGGAAAATGTGCCAATCTCTTATTCAATAAATCATATCTCTAACCAACACTAACTGGAGAGATGACTGAGCCCTAACCAAGGGGCTCTAATGGTTGATAATGAAACCCAAGTGCTAATAACCTAAATCTATTTAAATAACAACATACCTTAGACACTGAACAAACTCCTCCATATCTGCCCATAACATAAATCTCCTTGATTTTCTTTAAAATCAATAAATACAGTGCTTGCCAACAAAGGGAATAACAATAAAAAAGGTTGAAACATTCAAATCTACAGGTCTCTGTACAGCAAAGAGTGAAATATACTAATGAAGTCTTTGTACACAAATATACTGCAGCCAAAAAGTCTTACCGGAATAATAATTTCAAAACAATCATTTACCTTATAAAACAAATGCCAAATTCAGGCTGTAAAGGGCCAATTTCAAAAATCTGAGGGGCAGAATTTGGCCCGTTAATAAATTTAACTAGGGGCTGGCCCGGTGGCGTACCGATTAAGTGCACACGCTCTGCTTTGGCAGCCTGGGTTCACAGGTTCGGATCCCAGGCGCGCACCAACACGCCGCTTGTCAAGCCGTGCTGTGGTGGTGTCCCATATAAAGTAGAGGAAAATGGGCACGGATGTTAGTCAGGGCCAATCTTCCTCAGCAAAAAAAATTGGCATTGGATGTCAGCTCAGGGCTGATCTTCCTCTCATACACACACAAAAATTTAACTATGAGAAAAGCACCAACTATTAGTATTTCCCACTAAAAGCTGTACTATCATTTAGAATTCGACTGTGACATTGTGAATTCATTTTATTTTTGGAGAGTTTGATAATGGAGCACCTAAAGGAATCTCTGACTTTTCAACACAGAGAAATGCACATACTTTCCTCCGGGTCCTCACTGGCTAGGATGCTGCTGGAAAGTTCCTGTACAGCAGCTCGGGACTCAGCTGTAGAGCGATGAGGCCCTAGGCGACTGTCCCTCTGGGCTTCCCACTCTTCGCTGAAGCCTCCATCATCACTCTCTGTCACAGGGTCTTGTGAATCACTTTCTGTGCCTTCAAGAGAAAGTGGAAATTACAGCTCTAATATTTAGAAACATTTTTTAATACCTTTAAGAAAACTATATTGAAACAGTAGCTACTCAACGATCATTATAACTAGGTTAGCTGGCTCAAACCACAAACCATGGGCTGTAGCAGTGCCTGTTGGTTGCTTACCCAATAGCCATCTCTGGAAGGCAGAGTACTGATTTGTTTGGGTTTCCACCTCTGTCCCACATGACTCTGGTGGTAAATTCTGATCAATCCAAACCAAGCATTGTTATCCCACCATTCCTCTTCCCACTGAAAGCTCTAAGGCTGTGGGGTTGGTACTGGCCAATGTGTGGTGAGGCAAAGTCTGCTGGGAATTTTGGGGAAATTTTTCTCACTCTTTAAGAGAGATTAAGGAAGAATCAACTCCTTTATTCCCCTGGATGTTGTCCTATCTGGCTATGATGCCTGGAACTCCAGTTGTCACCTTGTGACCATGAGGAGCAGTGGGCTGAGGACCAAGCCTATATCTAAGGATGGCCAAGTAGAAAGACGGAAAGAACCTGGGCCCTTGATAACCTCAACAAGCCACAAAATTAACCAACCCTACAAATACCTACACCTCAGGACTTCTGGTCACATGAGAGAAACACTTCTTTGTTTAAAGCAACTGAATTGGGTTTTCTGATCTTTGCAGCTGAAAGCTTCCTAACTGATGGCACTCACCACTGGCTTTAGTGACTAAGTTAACAAGTAGACCATTACTGGCGTAATGGGGTGGGAAAGTGGGGAGGGAATTTTTTGATGGGCTAGTCATTTCATTCTAATGACTGTCGATCTGCCTGAAAATCGTGAGCATGACATGATAGTCTTGAGAACCTTATACGTCAAAAATAAAAGATGTAAGTCAAGTTGATAGTATGTTTTTTTCTCCTTTATTTTTCATAAAAGTAACACAAGTTCATAGCAGAGGTAGATTTACTATGAATAAACAAAGCTTGCACACTTCAGGCCTCTCACTTGCATGGACTTCTTCTGGGAGGGGCCCTAGCAATTTTGTATTTGTAATTTGTATTCTTTTTCTTACCAAGGTCTCCACAAAACCTGAATCTTCCCTGGTTTGGAATTTATAAAATCATATAAGCATAAGATTTATAAATAAAAACAGCAGTCCCTGCTCTGTCCCATCCCTCCTCACTGCTGATCCTCACTCCTACTTTCAACGCTTTCAGCTATTTCTTTTGGTATTTATTTCTGTAATTCATTATAAATAGTATGCTCATAGTGCTGCATCTTGATTTTATTTTAGGCACGTAGTCACTTCCTATAGGGAAGATAAAGCATCAGTTCCCTTACTCTTATGAACATATATAAATTTAACTCTCCCCATATTCTCAATATGTCCTAATTTTATGTTAAGTTCAGTTTTTCAATTATCACTATGTATATAGTATTCACAACTAAACTATTTCGCCCCAGCCAGAATATACTATAATTATATTTGCTTCTTTTGCACAATTTTTTATTTTCCCTGGAAAATTGTCTCATTTTTTCCCTTAACAAATTTTCTGTTTCACCTATGACTAATTCACCCTCAAACTCTGACTGAGTTCAAACACTCAGGGACCTTTCAGTTCTTTATTTCCCTGAACAGATATCCCTTTTGGAGTCCTATGTTCTTCTGTTCCAATCTAATTTCTAGTTCTGCTAATATAGTGGTTTTTCAACTGAGGGTAGCATCTCCCTTCCAAGGGGTGTTTGGAAATAACTAGGATGGAGGAGTTTTTGGCTATTACAATACCTCAAAGCCACTATTAGCATTTAGTGGGTGAGACGCCAGGAATGCTAAGTACCCTGCAATGTGAGGGGAAGCCCCACACAATGAAGAACCACCCCACCCAAAATACCAACAGCACTCCCACTGAGGACCTCTGCAGTTCATCCAGCTCCTTCTCACTCAAGGCCCTTGCCCCTGTTGTTTCTTCTTCTGGAAAACTCTTCTTCCACTCTTCGGCTGGCCATCTCCTATTATCACTTCCTCAGGAAAGCCTTCCTTGACTTTCCAGAATAAATGAAATTACTTCCCTATAAACTTTCATAGGAACTTACACTTCTCCTTTGTATTGCTTATCACAACTGTATGAATTATTTGTGGAACTATCTGTTGAACGTTTCTGTCTCCCCAAATAGGTGATAAGCATCACAGGATGGGACATCTCATTCAGTGTTAATCCCCAGTGCCTAGCAAAACACCAGGCACACAGGTGCTCAATCAACATTTGTCAAAAGGATAAAATCTTAATGTACCAAAAACACACTCATACTCACAAAATATACATATACACTCATAGACAACTAATCTTGTAATTTCCTTTAACTTAACAGATTAACACAATAACCAGACTTGTAGCAACTGTTTCCAATATATTTCCTACTTCTCTACTAGGTCTGCTACTGGTCTAATGCTACTTGTTCTGCTGCCTTGCTCACTGCAGAATGGGCCTGATGTCTGAGTCCCAAATATGAATTCCCAGCTGAAAGTGTCCTCCATGCAGTTACCCAAACGCTAAATCAGCGGTTTTCTTGGCTCTGTAAAACCTAAACTCTCCCATTCCTGACAAATAGCAACTTAAGGCCCTTTTTTCGTCTCTCACCAATCTTTATTCTGCCTGTTTTTCAGCTTCCTCATAAAGTTAGCCCTTTGCTTTTCTTAAAAAAAAGTTTCCTTTCTTCTTGACTATTTATATTGGGTTTTTGTTTCAACTTTCTTTTTTTTAAAGCCTATTTTAATCTAACACACTCCCCCTCTACGCGTCCACACACATTTTATAATTTTATTTTTTATTTTATTTTCTATTGACGTAACACTGGTTTATAACATTATATAAATTTCAGGTGTACATCACTGTATTTCAATTTCTGTGCAGACTACATCATGTTCACCACCCAAAGACTAATTATCATCCGTCACCGTACACGTGGGCCCTATTACCCCTTTCTACCTATTCTTTTATTTTAAATTTTTTTTTTTTTTGTGAGGAAGATCAGCCCTGAGCTAACACCCGTGCTAATCCTCCTCTTTTTGCTGAGGAAGACTGGCTCTGAGCTAACATCTATTGCCAATCCTCCTCCTTTTTTCCCCCAAAGCCCCAGTGGATAGTTGTATGTCATAGTTGCACATCCTTCCAGTTGCTGTATGTGGGACGCGGCCTCAGCATGGCCGGAGAAGCGGTGCATCGGTGCGCGCCCGGGATCGGAACCCGGGCCGCCAGTAGCGGAGAGTGCGCACTTAACCGCTAAGCCACGGGGCCAGCCTCCTATTACCCCTTTCATCCTCCTCCCTCCCCACTTCCTCTCTGGTAACCACTAATCTAATCTCTGTATCTATGTGTTTGTTTGTTGTCGTTCCTCAACTTTCTAATAACAACTCCTAAAATATGTTCTCCTTAACATCTTCTGTAGTGTCCACAAGTGGGCCTTTCGATCTCCCACCCTAGGTCATCATTATTATCCTCCTCCAGAAAGTCATGTCCACCTGGAATATTTTATCTTTTCAGTATAAACATTATCATATCTCAAATCAAATTATATTTAAGTTATTCTGGCCACGTCAGACAAGAGGTTCTCATTTTTACATGTTTGGAGAGCGAGCTTTTTTCTTTTTTAAATGATAGCCTGCTTGAACCTTTCCATATTGGTATCAATGGTATTTAATGGCAGAAATTCTTAACCGAGGGTGCCTTGGCTGCAGTGTTGGGTTTGGAGCATTTGAACTCCTTAAATATTTATCTGTATTTACTGAGTATTAACGCAGCTTTCAGTAGATTCTCAGAAGAGTCCATGACCAAAGAAAGAGGTTCAAATCATTGCTTCATAACTCATTGTTAGCCTATAAGATGACAACGACCCCGAAAAACCAGGAAATTATCAAATAAAAGTCACCTACTTTGTGCATTATAATTGGAGTTTTTGGATACCTTCCTTTGGGCTTCTGGGTCTCCTTCTGCCATATTCACCAACCACACCATGGTTGCTGTTGAGAAAGACAAAAGTCCAGGTAAGCACTCAAAACACAGAAGGGGAATAACTACATGAATAGAGAGCAGGCCAGTATTTATCACATATCATGAATCTTCTTAATGTTGTTGCCTTAAGAATCCTTAACAATCAGAAGTGAATGCATATTAAAAACCACAAAAGATTCTCTTTGATTTTGGCAGATAAAAGAAAAAATTCTGAAAGTGAATGTTTACTGTAGCTTTCAAACTGCAGCTGCTACTGTAAAACTGTTCATCATCATTTTCAGTCCCTGAAAAGTAACCAGAGAGAAAACCGTTCAGGCCAGCAAGATGCCACTGAAACAATAGCTGGACTGGTTGAATATCCTAATAGCTGGACTGGTTGAATATCCTAAAATAGAGTGAATTCACTGATGAAAATTACTTATTGGAACTAAATTAGAGGACAAACTGGGGCTCATAAAAGCATCAGATGATTATAATTTGAAAGATGCATGGAATAAGTTTCCTTCACATTGTGTCTCACTTCTGGGATTTTCAATAATGCTAAATTCTGTTATACACAAGAAATAAGAAAAAAAAAGGTTAAAAGCAATAAATATAAAGGGGATAGTCAACTGGCCTCTTCTATGTCCCTTCCACAAAAATACATATACATGTATATAGATTAGATATACACACACATCTGTACCACATTTTAGTTTAGAGACAAGGTGAATACTTTAAGTATAACTGACATACAATATCCTATTAGTTTCAGGTGTACATCATAGTGATTCAATATTTGACAATGTACATACTTTAAAATGGTGCTTCTCATATACTGCAGGTGGGATGAAAAATGGTATAGCCCCTTTGGAGGAGAATTTGGTAAAATCTAACAAAACCACATGTGCATTAAGCCTTTGACCCAGGAACACCGCTTTTGGGAATTTATCCTCAAGATACACTAACGATAATACAAAAATACATATAAATATGTGTCATACAGGTCTACAGCAGGAGCCAAATGCCAGCAGCAACCTGACACCAATCTGGTTATAGTAAGCAACTTTAAACAAGATACTTGGCATATATGTCCCTCTGGCTTTTTATCACTGATCTTATAATTATATCCATGTTCCTAATACTCTTAGGCTTCTTGAATAACTTATGAAAAAATACACAACCAAAGAGGCAGAAGATTCTATAATGGCCACGCTCACTCATTGACCACAGCTTTGCCATTTTGAGGTCAAACAAGTTTCATTATATGATAACCCAAGTAACTGATCAAAGTCAAGATGAGCCAGGCAGGCAATACACTGTTTAAATCCAAACCCAAAGAAGAGAAACAGAAAGGTGACCACCATATAGAAGGCTTACAGATTTCTGGAGCCTTCTTGGCAACAAAGACAGCAGGTATTTATTTTTCTTTCTTTAGGCAAGCATGGAAAAATATAGCTACAAACTCTTTTGTTTTAACATTTAATTTTACCATGGAAACCAGGGGTCAGCAAACTTTTTTCCGTAAAGGGCCAGATAGTAAACATTTCCGGCTTGTGGGTAACATCTGGTCTTTGTCACATATTCTTCTTTGTTGTTTTCTATTCACAACCCTTTAAAACTATAAAAAGCATTCTTAGCTTACAGGCTGTACAAAAACAGGCTGTGGCCAGATTTGGCTGCAGGTAGGAATTTGCTAACCCCTGATGTAAATGATCATGAACAGAATATATATCTGTTGAATGCATTAATACTACTAAAATAATATCTTAAAAACCCACTTTCCAACCTTTCAACTTAACACTAAACATCTTAGATCAATAGAAAAGTATGCAATTTAAAAAATTAACATAATTTAAAAACTCCCCAAACTGATACGAAATCAAAGAAAAGCTTTATATAAAATGGTCTACCTCAAGAAATTGTTAGCTTCATTTTTGATAAGCTACCAGAGTAGAACACCTCTGCTAGTGACTACGATGAAAGAAAGATTTAATTCAAAAAGTAGGTGTGCATTTTTCCTGTCAAATGGAAATAGAAAACAAACAAAAATGTTCACATTTCCTGAGGGTAAGACCCTTTTGCAAACCAAATATCCTTAAATGGGGAAGAATATACAAACGCATAAAAGGATTGTACTTTTAAAGAAGAAATAGCCGAGAAGATTGACATAAAACTTTTCAAATTCATGCTTCTACCCACTTCAGAGAAAAAGTACTGATTAATATTGCTGTTTTCTTATATTCTGTTAAAAAGAAAAAACAACCCTCTCAAACTCAATCATTTATAAAGTCCTCACCACAGATTTAGTATTTCATGAGAACAGATGCTTTCTTGAACCTATCTGACCTACACAGGAGGTAATGGTTTATGCTGATATTTTCCCATATATGTTAATTATTGCTAAAATACCTCAGAATGCCAAATATTATAGACTTGAGTTTTTCAAAATATTATATATGAAAGATATTTTAAAACAACTGAGTAAACGCTTTTTTTCTGAGTATAAAATTAACATACATGTGTTTTGTTTTTTTTTTTTATAATTTTATTTATTTATTTTTTCCCCCAAAGCCCCAGTAGATAGTTGCATGACATAGCTGCACATCCCTCTAGTTGCTGTATGTGGGACGTGGCCTCAGCATGGCCGGAGAAGCGGTGTGTCGGTGCACGCCAGGGATCCGAACCCAGGCCGCCAGCAGCAGAGCACGCACACTCAACCGCTAAGCCATGGGGCCGGCCCAACATACATGTTTAATACTGTGGCAGACTGAAAGACTGTTCCTAATTCTTCACCCCTCCTGCACCCACATTCTTGCCACAGCCTCATTGTGAGTGGAATGTGGTTTTCCTCTTCCTGACCTGGGGCTCAGCTATGTGAACTGCTTCAACCAGTGGCATGTGGGCAGAAGTGGCAGTATGCTAATACTGATCCTAGGCCTTAAACAGTCTTGTTGCCTTCTTGTTCCTCTAGCCATACGAAGAACATGTGTCCAGCTAGCCCACTGGTCAAGGAGGATGGCGAACACATGGAGCAGAGCTACCATGGCCAAGTCAGGTCAGCTGAGTCAACTGACCTGCACATGTGGGGGCGATGATAAATGACTATTATTTTTAAGGCACTGAGTTTTGAGGTGGTTTGTTACACAATATTATTTGTGGCAACAGCTAACAGTAGAACAATGTAACATTATGAAAACACAAAGAAAAATTTTAAACTCACAATCCCTTCACTTTGACATCCACAATTAAATTTTTAAAAAATATAAAGTACAATTAAAATTCTACAAGTAGAAAAAGGTATAGAAAAAAATATAAAAGTTACCTCAATCTCTAACTCCCCGTTCCCAGAGGTAAACACTATTAATATATTATCTGTTTTTTAAATGTATCATTGAGATTTTATATACACAGACACATCCATACATAGCTCCTTTCCCCCACTTTTTCCATAGACTATTGCATGTACTGCTCTAAATCTTGCTTTTTGTATTTAATATACAATCTTTGACATAAAAAAAAAAACAGTTGGACATATATAGAGCTACCTCATTTTTTTGTGTGTGTGTGAGGAAGATTAGCCCTGAGCTAACATCTCTTGCCAATCCTCTTCTTTTTGCTGAGGAGGACTGGCCCTGGGCTAACAACTGTGCCCATCTTCCTCTACTTTATATGTGGGATGCCGCCACACCAAGACTTGATAAGCAGCGCAGAGGCCTGCGCCCGGGATCCCAACCGGTGAACCCTGGGCCGCAGAAGCGGAGAGCGCAAACCTAACCACTACACCACCAGGTCAGCCGTATAAAGAGTAGATTTTAATTCCCAGGCATACACAGAAGAAGATCACATCCCAATGTCAATTAAAAGGAAAATGTTGATGCTCAAAACTTCATCTGCCCTTTTCTGCCAAAAGACACAGAAAGCACATGATAATAAATTTATATTGGAAAAAGAGTGAAAGAAAGATCCTTGCATTCCAGACCACAGGTGTCCTAAAACTTCACCAGGCTTCTCCAGCAAGAAGCACAACCCCCACCTTCCCCACTTCCCACAAATGACCTAACATTGAGTTCACAGGAGAGATCAAGCTCAACTAACACATGTTCCCAACTTATCTCCCCTATTTCACTACGTCTATCTTTTGCTTTTCTGTCTTCTTCCTTCCTTCCAGGTTTTTCCCTGTTCTTATCTAATTCCTCTTCCTGAACTCGAAAAGCAATTTCTACCTGCTTTATTGAGAACCTTGCTCCATTAACTATTCCTTTTTGCTGGTCTCTTCAAAGCCTTTCTCCACTGGCTTCTTCCCCTCAACCTTAGAACATGATTCAACTTTTTCTCTCCTGGAAACACCTTTCCTCAAATCCACTCTCCCCTGAAGTCACCACTGCTCTGCCTGTGAGCCAGGAATCTCTGAAGTAGTGGGTGATATTTATTATACTCGTCCTCCTTCACCACCCATTCTCTGTCCACACCATCACTTCCATTGCCAGTGCCAGCAGCGACAGTGTGCACATGCGTGTGCACACACACACGCACACACCTTCCTCCTCTTGGAACATTGCTCGTGGTCCTATCATTCTAAAATTGCTCTCTTAAAGGTCACTAAAGATATCTAAGGCATCAAATTCTATATAGTTTACTTAGTCTTCATTATCTTTGACATCTTTATAGTGGTTGACATTCTCTCCTTCTTGAAACTCCGCTTTTCCAATAACTCAACAGAAAAATGGGCAACAAAGGCAAAAAAAAAAAAAGAAAAAAGTCTATAAGGCTATATATCAAACTGGTAACAGGGGTAACTGCTTGGTAAGGTATGAAGATTGGGGATGACAGTTATAGTAAAATTTAACTTTGTCTATAATTTTTAACTTTTTTCAAGGATAATGCATTAATGTATTAGTTGTATAATTAAAAATTAATTTTTATTATTTTTTTTTTTTTGTGAGGAAGATCAGTCCTGAGCTAACATCCATGCTAATCCTCCTTTTTTTTTTTTTTGCTGAGGAAGACGGGCTCTGAGCTGACATCTACTGCCAATCCTCCTCCATTTTTTTTCCCCAAAGCCCCAGCAGATAGCTGTATGTCATAGCTGCCCATCCTTCTAGCTGCTGTATGTGGGACACAGCCTCAGCATGGCCGGAGAAGCGGTGCGTCGGTGCACGCCTGGGATCCGAACCCGGGCCGCCAGCAGCCGAGCGTGCACACTTAACCGCCAAGCCACAGGGCTGGCCTAAAAATTAATTTTAAAAAGGAAAAGTATACTACATCAAGTCAGTCACAAATCAAGAAATACAAATATATAGCTAAGAAATACATGAAAAAAGTCCAAATAATCATGAATAGGTATTAACTATTATTAACTAGTAGATATTAGTTAATAAGTGAAGATGCAAAACAAAACAAGAAGTTATTTTTTTTCCTATTAGTTTCACACACATAAGTAATCGCGAAGATGTAAGGAAATTGGTACCTTCAAACTACTAAAGGGATATAACCTGGTACAGACTTTTTAGTAGGCAATTTGGCAGTTTCTATCAAAATTTAAAGGCACACATCCTTTGACTTTTCAATTCCCCTTCTAAAATGTATCTTACAACAATATTCACAAATTCATGGATGTTCTCTACAAGCACTGTTTGTGACAGAAAAGAAAGGGAAATGATCTAAACGTCTATCAGTAAGGACACTCTTTACTGAGTATCTATATAAGAGAACACTGTGCAGCCATTTCATGTACTGACATGAAAAAAGTCATGATACCGCTAAGGGAAAAATGCTGGCTTTCCGAATTTTCTGATATTTTCTTCTCTTCCCTTTCCCATTCTCTTTTCATTTCTCACTCTCTAAACACAGTAGTTGACAAAGTTCTACCCTTGGCCTCCCCTTCTCTTCTACTTTTATTTGAACGAATTGTCCACTCCTACAGCTTCAACTATCACCTCTCTGCTGACGTCCTTCAATTGCACATGTCTTATATCAACCTGTTCCCAAGCACTGGTACTTCATTTCTAAACTCCTGCTGGAAATTTCTACCTGGATGGCTCAGAGGTCCTGTCAAGTAAGTTAGACATGGGCCACAGACAAAACTAAACAAATTCCTCAAACAAGAAAAACATCTCTTCTTCTTTATCCTTCCTTTAGGTTTAATACTTCTCTCATTAGTTAAGAACTACTGATGCTACCTCCAAAACCTCTCATCAAGTCCTTTCCCTTGACTGCCACTACCAATACCGTAATTCAGACCCTCATTATTTTCCACCTAGATTATGGCAATGTCCACTTAGTTATGCTTCCCATGATCTCAGTTCTGACCTCTTCCAATTCATCTTACACAATGCTGCAAGTTTATGAAGGCACAGCTCTGATCACATTACTCTTCTGCTCAAGAACCATCTATGATTCCCCAGTGATCACCAAATAGTAGACAGAGATCTAAACCAGTCACTCAAAGCTATCCTTGATCTTGCCCTAATCTGCCTTTCCAAACTCAGCCACTAGTACTCCCCCCATTTTGTGCTCCATGTTCTAGTCAAACTCAACACTTGAAATTTGATGAAGATGTCCCACACTTATGTCTCAAAGCCATTCTTTGTGATGAGCTCATTTTTGGAACCAACTCTTCCATCTGTGCTTGCTGAAATCCTACCATCCTTAAAGGTTCAATGCAAATGCTGTCTCTTCCATGAAGCCTTCCTTGATTCCCCAAGCCAGATTTTCCCTCTTTTGAACTCTGTCTACACTCTGATTGTGCTTCTTCTGAATCTGATAATATTCTGCCTTGGACACTGCTTATATATATACTTGTCTTATCTCACCTCTAAATTGTAAGCAAATGAGCTCTGAGGGAAGGAAAAGTATTTTTTTTTTTTTTAAAGATTTTATTTATTTATTTTTTCCCCCCAAAGCCCCAGTAGACAGTTGCATGTCATAGCTGCACATCCTTCTAGTTGCTGCATGTGGGACTCGGCCTCAGGATGGACGGAGAAGTGGTGCCTCGGTGTGCGCCCGGGATCCGAACCCGGGCCACCAGCATCGGATCGTGCGCACTTAACCACCAAGCCACGGGGCCGGCCCAGGAAAAGTATTTTTAATCATTTTTACATCCTCTACAGTGCTCTGTGGAAGCAGATTAGGTAAATGCCCAATAAATACTTACTGAATGATTAGGAAGAATAAGACTCTAAAATGAAAAAGGCAAACACATTCTGAAGGAAAAGTACAATTCTTTCAATAAGCTAGGGCAAGATTCACCTGCAATATATGTATATAACAAGTGCTCATAACTTTTTCTCCTCCTAGTTTTACTGAGATATAACCGACATTATAACTCTTGACTAATAAGATTTTAAATGAGAATACTAGCTCTCCAATCTGTAAATATGTCTGCTATTTCTACACATATTGAAAACTCTTGAACTAATGTCAGGTAGAAGATAACAGTGTGCAAGGAAACACAAACAGATCTGCAGGAGTTCCATCAATGCTATCCATGTATTTAAGATGAGGGGAAGTATCATAATGACCATAATTATGTGTTTGAATTCCTATAAATTCTCCGCTGATTACTAATTTAACATTATTCCAAAATACTTACAGGAGTAAATGAGAGCTGGAAAGAGAGTTTCATTTCTCTCCTGAGCTGTTTCAACCAGCATACGAAGTGGACCTTTTGGACATAAAACAGCCACTAAATCTACAAAGAGAAAAACAGAAAAGACATCTGGAAAAAAATGTATTAACTAAACTTGTAAATGGATGTGTTAAGGAGGAATTAACGAAGGAAAAAGGTTTAATGTTTTTTTCACACAAAAAGATGTTGAATGAATATGAAATAAACAGCAGGTAAATTGTAGGGGGAAAAAACAACCTAAATAAAATACACAAAACCACACAGAAAGAAGATCTATGCAAATTTCATTTTGATTCTGACTGCTATTTGGTTAGTTTACTGTGCATCATCATTGGGTTCTAGGAATAAGTCTTCCCAGTTTGAAGAAAAGAGATAATGACAAGACAGAACTATTCTAGAGCAGCTGTCAATTTCCAATAAGCAGACATAACAACAAGCCATTTCCAAAGAAATCATACCTCTGAGCCACAAATAGCAGCCTTACTCTAAGAGGAATTTAATAGAGGAGATTTGATGGAACTTTTCAAAATACGAAGAACAGGGTAGAAGAGATTCATCCTTGCTCTTTTGTGTGTGTGTGTGTGTGTGTATGAGGAAGATCAGCCCTGAGCTAACATCTGCCAATCCTCCTCTTTTTTGCTGAGGAAGACTGGCCCTGGGCTAACATCCATGCCCGTCTTCCTCCACTTTATATGGGAAGCCGCCACAGCATGGCTTGGCAAGCGGTGCGTTGGAGCACGCCCGGGATCCGGACCAGCACGCGTTGTAGCACACGCATTTAACCGCTTGCGCCACCAGGCCAGCGCCCCTGGTCTTTTTTAAAAATAGTATATGTACTACTTAGAAATATTTGAAAGAAGAGAGCAGTAAATTTAACCAAAACAAAATAACTAATAAATCTTTGCATGAGAAAGTTCGGTATTCCTTTACTTCTCCTGTCAAAAGCACTTCTTTTGAATATTCAGGTCTCAGAATAAATGTGCTGAAAAGCAGCTTATTTTACAAAAAACAGCAACTCAGAGAGGAAGCAATATGCTGAAATTATTTTTGATTCTACCACCATCTCTTTGCATTGACTGCAATTTTGCTTACATTTTCTGTGTCACGTAAATTCAGAATATAGAAATACAGAAAATAATTTCAAACATTTAAAAATATAAAACAGGTATAGCTGAATTTGTGAAGGAAGACTTGATAGCTTGTGTTGACACGACTATCATCCAGATGCATTTAAGTAAAACACCCTCATGCCTGCAAGTGGTCATGTCTCCTCATATACCACTACTACCACTAATATAATAAAACACATACAAAGAAATCTCTACTCTCAATGCTTCCACTTCGATTTGTTTTGGATGAGAAAAGGAAATCTACCATGCTCTGAAATAATGAGGCTGTCAACCTGTTTGAAGCTGTCATGTACTTTAACTATCTTGGTTTTACGATACATTCCCCCTATAGAATTTCTACATGATAAACTCCCTTAGATTTAGAACAATTAAAGTGAATTAAAATTAATTTTGTTTTGAAATTTTTAGTACAACCTTTGTAAAAAATTAAAACATCTGGAGATCTTGTAAAAATGGAGTTGAGAATCAGTACTCTAAATATTGGATACAAATGTCACTCTCCATTTTAAAGGAACTTAAAGCTCTGTAGAGATAATTTTTATTATGTACGGAAGAAACAAAGGGTTGATGGGAGAAATAGTGTAATATAGGAGAAAGATTATTGGACTTGGGATTCAGATTCTAGGTCAAAAGGTCTAAACTTGGGCAAATACTTTACCTCTATAAACTTCAGGTTTCTTAGCAGTACAACAGGGATAACTGCCTTGCTTACTTCACAGGATTATTTATTTAAAAAATAACAGCTAATATTTACTGATAGATACTGTTCTAAGCGTACTGTATGTATTGTTTACTTTAATCGTCACAATAACTAAGACTTAGGGGTTGAGTAATGTATCTGTGGTCACGTAGTCAATAAGTGACAGGAGAAGAGCCTGGATTGAACCCAGGCAGTCTGTCTCCAGAACTGGCAGTCTTTTTTTTTTAAACATCAAAAATGGAATCAGACTCTATTACAATTCACCTCTGATGTCTGATGATGGAAATACACCATGTTTCATTTAATTAAACTTTAATTTGCTTAAGTATGTCATAATGGTGCTCTATGAGGCCTGCAGCCTGAGACTGGTTAAGGGTAGTGACAGTTCCATGAACACCTTGTTCAAGAGTCCAGTGTTGCATATTTTTAGAAGTGAAATGGTCAGTATTAACGTCTGGAACTCCAAAGCGGATATAGTGAGGCCTGTATTGTGGCTTTAATATGTATAGAGACGTGTAACCTTGATTTATATTTTGGGTATCTGTGAGACGAGAGATTCTTATAGTTATTTTCCCCAAAGAAGGAAATCTTGGATAAGTAACTGTTGTTGCTACCACTGGCAATGGCCCAAGAGTCTGTAAAAATGCACAGATGGAGCCAATTGTTAACCAGGATAAGATGAATGCCTAAAGTTCAGTTAATTTTGCTGACGCTTGGATCCCATTCTTTGGATTTTTATTTATTTTTTATTTTTTGTCCCCAAAGCCCCAGTAGATAGTTGTATGTCACAGCTGCACATCCTTCTAGTTGCTGAATGTGGGACTCGGCCTCAGGATGGACAGAGAAGTGGTGCCTCGATGCGCACCCGGGATCCGAACCCAGGCCGCCAGCATCGCAGCGCGCACACTTAACCACCAAGCCACAGGGCCGGCCCAAGGATCCCATTCTTTGATCAAGGATATCTGGATTAAGAAAAGTAGGAGCTCTCCAGTAAGTTCCATCATATGTAGTTTTTTTTTTTTTTGGTGAAGAAGATTGGCTTGAGCTAACATCTGTGCCAGTCTTCCTCTATTTCATATGTGGGATGCCTCCAGAGCATGGCTTGATGAGCAGTGCGTAGGTCCACGCCCAGGATCCAAACCCGCAAACCCCGGGCCACCGAAGCAGAGTGTGCAAATCCAACCACTATGCCACCAGGCTGGCCCCATCACATGTAGTTTTGATACTGTCCATAAAGTGTACAAACTTCTATCGCTGTTCATTCATTTGATCCCAAAGGGCTCCTGATGTAGCTAGGGGTCCAAGAGAGGGTGATCTCCTCTAGCACTTTGTCAACTGGCAAGGGACTGAGGACAGAAGAGGCCACCCTCTCCTGTAGGGGATACTCTACAGGGCCCAGACTTAGCTCTATCCTATAGGTAACATTTCTAAATCTTAACAAAGAGACCCTGGTGGCTGTGCTGAGCTTGCAGAATGCTACCTCCATGACCCACAGAAGGATATGGAACTTCACAGGTTCCGGGCCTGTGAGAACCTGTTTCCAGGAGAGCTCAGTATGTAGTCATCAATGGCCATTCTGATGGCATATAGCATGGGACTGAGGACAGTTTCTCACACCAGAAATCCATGGGCAACTTATGATCATCATGGGTAGTCCAGAGATTTCAGGAGGTATGAGAGGAGACTGCTAAAGCCTTTACAGTGAATGATTTCGAGAGGGGTGGGGGGTGGCTAATGGAAGTGATTGTTGCATTACAATTTGCACAGATTCTAGAGCCCTTTGTTGTAGGAGGCCCCAATTCCAGACGGGCCAATTTGTAACAGCATAAACAGGTTCAAGTAAAATCTGTAAATGAGGAATATATTGTTTCTAGACCCCAAAAAGATACTGAACTTGTTTTAACACTGTAGATGCAGAGAGGGTCAACTGCTATTTCTTGACAGTGTCAGAGATGCAGAAGCCCTCAGCTTACCAAATAATTTTCAGGAATTTAAATGGGGTGGCAGAGCCTTGTACTACGTACAGGCAAATGCCTATCCCCTTTTCATGAGCTCCTTTGTGAATATTTGTATGTGGTCAATAAGTAGGTCAAAAGCATCTCTTTGGAGGATGATACCATCAGTGTGATGTTCTATCTGTGCTCTCGCAGGCAGCTGGATGTGGTTAAAGATGTAGCCTGCAAAGACTGTGTGCAATGGCAGGGCTGCTGAAGTACCCCATGAGGAGCTAGGTATGGATATATTGTGTCTCTCTGAAGGTGAAGGTAAACTGTGGCTGTTGCAAAAGGCACTGAACAAAAGACCATAACAGTAAAATCTCTGACTGCAAAGTATTTATCAGTTGCTGATTGGATGGAGACCAGAACTGGCATTCTTAACCACACCTACGAAATAATAGATGAGTAGCGTGCAAACTATCAAGTACTATATAACCTAAGGTCATTATGAAAGTCAGGCACAGAGCATGTGACTTCTATAGTTCTGTGACTGACTGTTCAAATTTGAGAACAGAAGCAATTCAATTCTATTTTCACAGACTTTTTCTTCGTCCATCAAGTGGGGATGATGAGGCTTCCTACTACAGGTCACCTGACATTTTAATTAGCATCTGAATAGGGATAAAAGAGCACTGTCTAATTATAATATGGAGACCACATACTGACCTCTGAAAATGGACCTCTTTTTGGCTTTCACGCAGGGCAACAGCCACAGAGTACAAACCTGCAGAGCTGTCTTAGTCATTCATGGCTAGGGTACATGGAGTGTTTAGGACCCATGTCACACCAATTGTTAATGAATTTGAATCTCATACTGCCCACATAAGTTTTGTTTTTAAAAGAATAATTCTACCCAAGTTGCCTTATAAAAAGTAGGTAAATTAATTTTGATTTTAAAAATTAATTGAGCATTTTATGTGTATCAAGCACGCTGCTAGTGCTTTTCAACATATATTCTGAACCCTTACAACTCTGGGAAGTGTTGTTCCAATTTTCTGGATGAGGAAATTGAAGCTCAAAGAGGCTGAGTCACTTTCCTAAGGTCATAAAGACTGTCAGCGGTAGAGATGGATTTGAATCTAAGTCTTCTGACCAGAAGTCTATAGACCCTTCCACTAATCCATCACTGAATTAAACTGGAGGCAGTAATAAAACATTTTTTTAAGAACTTAACCTCAAAAAAATTGAAATCTTTATATGAAAAAGATATTATAGCTAATTAGTTATTTACTGAAGAGCTACAGGATGTAACTGTTATCATTTTCCTAAGTCAAGGTAACCGGAAGAGGAAGAAAAGCACACCAGTGAAGTATTTCTGTGATGAACACAATGTCAGTCTTGAGTTTTACCATATACTGAAATCACAGCCAAGATGAGCCATGCAGTCCATTCTGGGAGGTACTTGATAAATACGAGGGCCATGAGGGCACTGATCATAATGAGATACGCCTGCTGGAGTCGCAGTGGACCTTTCCAGTGAATGGCAATCATTCCCACCACACCAAAATTCCAGATCAGGAGTGCGACAGTAATGTAGTCCATGGCAACATTGTAGGTTTTAAACACTTCCCTGAAAAAAATTAAACAGAGATCTAAAAAGATTTATGTACAATAATTTTTCCTCAAAACATTGTTTAGAACTACGGCTCCCAAACATTAGATACTCATATCCCATCTTCATATTTTTACCATATCTTATATCAACTGTGCTAGTCTTTAATACTTTTCTTTAAATTAATTCACTTTTGGGCCAGCCCAGTGGCGCAGTGGTTAAGTTCGTGCACTCTGCTTCATCTGCCCAGGGTTTGCAGGTTTAGATCCGGTCCGGGCGCTGACCTCCTACCCACTGCTTGTCAAGCCATGAGGTGGTGGTGTCCCATGTACAAAATAGAGGAGGATGGGCACAGATGTTAGCTCAGGGCCAATCTTCCTCACAAAATAAATAAATAAATAAAAATAAAGCCTAAAATAATCCTTATTAAAAAATAAATAAAAAATAAATTAATTTACTTTTTTCCTCAAGCTGAGCTTCTTTTAACAGAAAACTCTGTATCATTCATTCACTTAAATGGGAAACCAGTATCACAGGTTATAGCTGTAAAACTAAGTACAAAAACTAAAAAAAGGCCATATACCACCTAAAATGCCATACTTTAGTTTGAGAAACCCTAGTTTAAAATATCTGAAATTGGAAAAAATTACAGATGCACAATAAATTTTATAGCTAGGACATATGATGTTATTTTCATAAAATAAAATTTAGTACAGCCACTAAAATATAGATATATTTTATACACACACACACAAACATGGAATATAGGCATGGCACACTGTTGCCTTAAAAAGAAGAAAAAAGATCTCATTTATGTGAAATAGTGTGTGAGAAGGGAGAGCAAGAGATTGATACATTAATTCCAGAAAGGATGACAGGACTTATCTTTAGATGATGGGAATCTGGTCATTTTTTACTTTTTCTTCTTTATAAGCTTATGAAATGTCTTTTTCTTTTCTTTTCCTTTTTTTTTTTTTTACAATGAATGTTCAGCATTTTTATTGTGAATAAAAATACTATTTTAATTTTTGGAGGAAAAAATTCCATCATCTAAAAATACAGAGATTACAAGAATAGAAGATGCCCTGGGTAACTGAGAAAAAAGAAGGCCTTCATTTATTTAAGCATAAACTTTGGGTTATGGAGATTATCCAGAAAGATGCTTTTCCCCCCATTTTGAAATGCCAAAATGCATGCTGAAATTTCTGGCCAATGTAGCTATTTGCATTAAGCATTTCAGATATCCTAGCACTCAAAACAAAACAAAACCCAACCCAAACTATTATTAACCTTTGGCTAGGTTACATGCATAAAATTTACAACACATACTATGAAAAGTAAGTTTCCCTCCCCATCCTGTCCCACAGTTGCCCTCTCCAAAAGAAAGCACTATTATTAATTTCATGAGTATCCTTTTAGAGAGTACATAAATATATAAAACATTGGATTAAGGAAGGACCTTTTAAGTTATATAATTAAAAAATATATATCTACCTGTATATATCTATTTTTTAAATTCCCCATTTCCTGTAGGTTTCCTTTAGTACTTTTGTGGTTTCACTTTTTAATCCATTTGGAATTTACCCTGATTAAGGAAGAAATTCAATTTTTCCCCCAGATGACTACCCAATTATCCTTACACCAATTACTAACTAATCCATCTATAGCCTACTGATTCTATACTACCTTTACCACAAATTAAATTATTTTATATATTTGAGCATTTTTCTAGTCTCTCTAATCTTTTCTATTCACAGTGCAGGTGTCACTATTTTAATTATTGTGGTTTTATAATTTCAGATCAGGTGGAACTAGTAGCCCTTCACTTTCTTCTTTTTCAGAATTCTTTGAGTACTTTCATTTATTTATTTTTCCAAATAAACTTTGAATCTTGTCCAGATTAAAAATAAATCCTATTTGTGTTTTTATTAGGTTTATGTTAAATTTTAAAATAAATTTAGAGAGAACTGACGTCGTTATGATATTAAGTCTTTCTATGTAACCTGGTAGAACTTTCCATTTGTTTAAGTTTTCTTTTTAAGCTCTTCAGAGGCATTTAAAAATTTCTTAATAATAGAAATTATTTATAG